GCTCGGCGCACGAACTTTGACCTGCTTGTTCGCTGCTGACTGTCCATGAGATAGACCGCTGGGGGGTTCGTGTGACCTTTGTCCCCTTTGCGGCTGTCGTAATTGTTGGCAAGCCAGTGCGCTTACTGGCCTGTCCCTTGTCCAGCGACGGACTAATCAGTTGCTGCTGCCCGAAAGCAGGTCAAAGTTCGTGCGCCGAGCACGGACATAATAACGGGCATGTAGAGAGGCAAAAACAGTCCCGGCAGACAGGAACAACCACCACGTCACTCTGACGATGGAAACAAGCAAGTGTTCGAAACGTCAGTCCGGATATAATTCGGTCCATGTCCTTGAACCTTCTTCGTCTTCTTTGGGGGATGAGGAAGACGATAATCTTATACTTCTAGAAGTAAAATGTCCATACGGCTGTGACAGCCATTGAGGCAGTCCAGTGCCGCTGCGCATTTACTGTAAAGATGGTCATTGGACGACTGAAAATGTATTTTAAGTAACAGTACGCTACACCTTTGCTTTAAGGGTCATCGGTATTAGTCTGCCTGAACAGGGCACTAAAAAGGCGAACCTATGAGTCAATTTATAAGCGTGTTTGCCAATGGGAACTGAAAACATGAACAGCTTTTCAATTCCTACTCTCTTTGTGAGCTTGAGTAGCAGTTCAGACTTGCTAAAGTTGACTCCCAATCGCATGAATGGGCCACGGTTGCTAAGAAGAAAGACGATAGATTTGGAACTCACTAGACGGAATTCTAATGAAATGGACAATTTAAGAAGTTCCAAGCTAAAAGGCACCTTCTCGAGAGTAGACACGTTCTTACCTGCAAGTCCGTCTGGTTCTATCTCTCCATAGAGGTTATAGTAGGGATATTCCAGAATGCTTAGGAGTTCTCCGGCAGTAAATTCCCTTACGTAAGGATAGCTCAATCGTTGCAAAGCAATGGCCTGTGGAACAAGCACAATGATAATCACTACCAGAAAGATCGAGAACTCCTGCAGCATCGGCTTCATGATGAGAATATGCGGGCCGAATGGCCTGAAAACCAGAAGGTAATCAAGTATCCGAACGTAGCACAAGATGACTAAAAGAAACAAGAGGAAGGTGGACTTGAAGAACCAGGTGCTAACAGTAGTATAATAAAATGGTTTCTTCACATAAGGGGAAGATGCGATCGCGGGAACAAGAATTCTATTAGCCCAACATTTTGGATTCTTGTCTAAACCCATAAGCACCCTTTGTGAGGTTTTTTGCCTCGTTGAAATCGAAAATATGGCCCGGTCCCGTCGAGTGAGTTGCACCTTAAAACTTGTGTCTTTAGTCTCCCACACCACTGCTGCCTGTTCGGGAATTCCTGTCTGGAGTAGTACTCCGGTTTATCCTACGTAGTTGCTTGT